TAAGGCCGGGTCTACAATCAATCGTCTGTCGGAATAGTATGTCGTGCGCATGCGTACAGTCATGATTTTTACGTGTCGACTGTCCAAGTTGGCCGGGCGTCGTTGTCGGCTCGGAAAAAGATCAAATCTCATCTTTCGAGTTGTGTGTCGTTGCAGAAGTAGAGGTTAAAAGCCGAAATTGTGAACATAAATATTCATAATGAATAATACTGAACTGATTGCGGTTTATAGTAGTTTATTATTAGCTTGGGTACACATTGAGAGAATACGAATAATTTTAAAGAAAAAACGTAAGAGCTCTCGAAGATGGTGGGTAAAACCTCATCTTACCGTGGAAATGAGAAACAATTTTGGAGCTCATGAGAAATTATTTGCATATTTCAAAACAAGTGATCATGAAGAGTTATTCAAATTTACAAGAATGTCTGTTGAACAATTTGACATGTTGCATAGTTTATTGAAACCGAAACTTGAAAAGAGGAGTCATAGGACTCCTTTGCCAACAGAACTCCGTCTCGCTCTTACATTGAGGTTATACTATTGAATTTTGTAATTTTATTTTCGGTAGATATCAGAAAGCATTTTATTCAATAATTATTATTTTTAGTTATCTTGCTCATGGAGATAGTGCTGCAACAACAGCATGGCATTTTCGTGTAGGAAAATCAACTGTGTATAGTATCATTCCTGAAGTATGTAAGGCAATATGGGATGTTTTACAACCACTGTATTTGAGAGTCCCAAATGAAGAAAATGAGTGGTTGGAAATAGCAAACGAGTTTAATTCTCTTTGGAATTTTCCAAATTGCATAGGGGCTATTGACGGCAAACACATACGAATTAATGCTCCTCCAATGTCTGGTAGCGCTTTTCATAATTATAAAGGCAGCTTCAGCTTTGCATTAATGGCTATTTGTGATGCTCAATACCGTTTTACATGGTTGGATATTGGCGATTATGGTAAATTATTAAACTAGTTGAAATTAGTTAAAATTATATAGATTAGATAGTATACTTTATTTACTCCAAAGGGGCCTTAAAGGGCGTTTTTTTACTTTAGGGACGTACCCAACCCTTTACATCAAAATGTTCTCAATTCTTCTTATGGTCCTCGTCCTCGTCCGTGTCCATTAATAGTTTCTCCTCCATTTTCTTCGCAATCTCTTCGTCCGTAGTCCTTTTTAGTTTCCCGCCTTCCTCCTCTCTCCTTTCTTTTCTCCTTTCTTTCTTCTCTCATTCTCTTATCCTCATCTCTACTGTCTTGTCTTCTGTTCCATTTTAACTTTAAACCTGCTCCCGTCCTTTCTTCTCGCCTCTAAAACCCTCCATTTATCCTCTTCGCATACCTGTCCATTAGGTTCACTGAACGATGCCGGTATCTGGTCTAAGACTGAAATGAATACCGCATTGGAAAGTAATACTGTGTCTTTACCACCAGAACTTTATTTGCCACATACTAACATTGCTGTACCCTTTGCTCTTGTTGGCGATGAAGGATTTCCTTTAAAAAAGTATTTGATGCGACCGTATGCAAGAAGAAATTTAGTTGATAATCAACAGCGTGTATTTAATTATCGATTATCAAGAGCCCGACGAGTAATTGAAAATGCCTTTGGAATTCTTGTCGCAAGATGGCGAATTTTCCAAAGAGCACTTTGTTTAAAACTAGAAACTGCTGAAAAAATTGTACAAGCCACATGTTGTCTTCATAATTTTATTATGAGCACAAATTATTCAAATAAACGCTATATACCAGAAGATTTTATAGATCGGGAAGGTCCCAATGGCGAACTTATCGAAGGCGGTTGGCGAAGTTTGATACAACACCCTGTACTTAATCGAATGGGACGAGTTGGTGCAAATGTTGGTTCGATTGCAGCAATGAAGCAACGCGACACTTTAGCCCAATATTTTGTTTCCGATGAAGGTAGCATTCCATGGCAGTGGGAAATGATTTAAATAAATTATCTGGCTTACAACTTTTATTATTCAAACACAATTATGTTTATTACAACATACAAGTACATGTTTATTACTCGGAAGGAGTGGTTAAAAGGCTCCTTGAACGTAGTACATTCCTTGCTATCTTAAGAAATAAACGTATTTTCGAAGTGTGCTGAAGTGATCTGTAGTGTTATTTTAAGCAAATATCTTTTTATTTGGAAATACTACGCAAGAATTCTCAACGCGTCAATTTTCAACATTTCTCGCTTATTCTCCATTGGAGAGAGTTCTTATTTCTACCGCGACGGTACGTCGCCACCGTCACCGCGGAGTTCTTATTCCTAAATTCTTAAAACCTTGGTTGCTAAAGCTTGATCCAAGTTCTCGTTCCGAGAAACGTGTAGC